GCCCCCACGGAGGACAATTTTGACACTGGCACTGAAGAGCCAAACACACCAGAACCCAGCTAGCCTGACTTCCTGAAAGTAAACACCTTTCCAACCATACTTTCTCTGGCAAGGAGGGTGCAGGAACAGCTGGTCACCTCAGGGAGGAAAGAAAGGGAGGGAGGAAGGGAGGAAGGGAGGAAGGGAGGGAAGAAGAAAGGGAGGGAGGGAGGAAGAAGAAAGGAGGGAGGAAGGAAGGAAGGAAGGAAAAAAGGAAGGAAGGAAGGAAGGAAGGAAGGAAGGAAGGAAGGAAGGAAGGAAGGAAGGGGAAGGAAGGAAAGAAAGAAAGAAGGAAGGGGAAGGAAGGAAGGAAGGAGGGAGGAAGGGAGGGGGGAAGGGAAGAAAGGACGACCACCCTGGCGGGCCTGGGACATCCAAAGCTGCACAGCTCAGAAAGCCCACACTTACTTCTTCACGTTGGCTTCCCCATTGGGGATCCTCCGCAACTTCTTCTTCTTGAGAATTTTGACGGCTCTTCTGCACAACGTCTCCGAGTCCAGCACCTCCTTGACTTTGCCGTAGGACCCCTCCCCCAGCAGGTCCCCCATCAGGTACTTGCCAATGAGCTTGGCGCGCTTGCGGCGGGGCTGGTAGATGACCTCGGTGGAATCGATGCGGTGGATGAACGTGTCCATACCCACCGACATCAGCTCGCCCTCTGTAAACATGCCCAGTTGCTGCGGGTCTGCCACATCCATCCTGGACCCAAAGTCTCGACTCGCGCCGCAGGGCAGTACCTTATCCCCTTTATGGATGACCCGGTGAGCGGTTCTTCTTTTTGTCCCACCCCCACCCCCTCAAATTCCCTTCTCAAAAGAATAAAAGTCAACAAAAACGCGAAAGAAAGAAACAATCCTTCTTCGAAAAGAAACGATTGTACGAAACGTGAGTTCAAGAGGCGTGATGGTCCGAGGCCCGGGCGCCCAACGGTGCGCAGCGCCGCAAGTTTCAATGAGACCAGGGCTGGCAGCTCCGGGTCGGGCCGGAGCGTCCTCGGGGGCCCTGGGGAGGCCGGTGGGGTTGCGAAGTGCTAGGTCATCCTCCAGGGACTTTAGACTCTCCGGCAAACACGGACGCGGCCGGACCAAGTCTTCTCTGGGCCGTCCATTTCTAGCGGGCAGTGGCGCGCGCCAGGAGCCCCAGCAGGCCCCGGAGCCCCCAAAGCTGGCAGCTGAGCTTCGCCGGGGGCCGGGGCGTCTCCGGCAGGCTCGTGGTCCTAGGCGTCCCGAGACGTGGCAGGTGCCAATCCGGCTCGGTCGGCTGCCGCCAGCCCCGGGCGCGTATCGGGGGTCGGGAAGTCACCTGGAGCACTCCCGCCGCAAGTAGCAACTTCCGTGGGAACCGGCCTCCAGGGCGCCCCCAAACCGGCCTGGGACACACAAGCGGCCTCGCGGGCGCCCCCCACCCCAAACGGCAGCCCGCGCTCGCTCTCCGACCCGAACGCCGTCCGCCTCGGCTCTCGAAGCGCAGGGGGACCGTAGAACTCCGGGCAGGCGAAGCGGCGCAGGCCACAGGCCCCGGGCCGGGGGTTCCCGATGCAGCGGGGACCGGGCAGCGCGTCCCCCGCCGCGGCCGCCCCAAGCGTGGAGCAGGAGGGGCGGCGTGGGGACCCAGCCCATGCAAGGCGGCCGCGGTGCCACCCGGCCCCGCCGCCGCCTGCACGCCCGCCGCCTCACTTGCGAGCGCCCCGGGCCGCCTCCCGCTTCCGCACCCGACACGCCGTCGCCATCTTGTTTACCTCCCGCCCCCGCCCTGAGCCGCCGCGCCGCCGCGGACCCGCCCCTCGCGGCGCCGACGTGCCCGCCCGTTGGCCCAGACGGCACTCCCCGCCCCGCCCCGCCCCAGCCGTCTATTGGGCCGTTTGGACCCGGGCGGGCGGCCGAGCAGAGATAGGTTCGTGCTAGGCTCCGCCCCCAGGGTGGACCCTGCTTGCTCATTGGCCCGCAGAGGCACCCTCCCCTGGGGGCGGGGCGGGAAGTGAGGCTGTGGCGGCGACCTCGGAGGGGCTTGAGCCTGTGGTTGGAGGTTGGGGGTGCTAAGAGGCTCCCTGGGACATCCGTGAGGAGGGTGTAATCTTTGTGGGCCAGGACGCGGTTCGGGGACTTAGCAGGGTGCCTTCCAGCACCCCCTCCACCCCGGGACTTTTCTCCAGACGAGGTCAATGGTTAAAAAATAGCCCACTTTGTCTCGTCTCCGGCTGCCGCTGTGTCTGCCCACCTGCAACAGATGGCGTGAGGAACTGCTCCAGCTTCCTGATCGAGAGGAACAAGCGGACGTACAGCACCGAACCCAATAATCTGTAGGTCCGCAACTCCTTTCGCTACAACAGACTGGTTTACCGCTAGAGGGTGGGCGTGGAGCTTGGCAGCCGACCCCAAGGGGTGTAGGTCGTCCAGAAGCGGAGATCCGGCCAACGAAAGCCCGCACCTCCTACTTGTAAGAACGCCCGGATGGTATCCAGCATTTGATTCCCAAGAACATGTACCTCCCGGAGCTGCGCATGGCCGCCATCCGCAGGGCCAGCGCCAGCCTGAACAGCCAGAAGCCCGAGAAGGTGGAGAGGAAGCGTGCTCGCCCCACCAAGAGCTCCTGAGCCCCCTGCTCCCCCCCCTCCCCCAAAGCAATAAAGGTATTAGCCAACTTTCCTAAGGGGGGCGGGGGAGTCGCCTAAAATGGTCAGTTCAATGCAGACCTTGATTCTGGGCCCGTTTCCTCCTCTACAGAGTGGAGACTTCATCCAGATTGACATTTCATGACCAGGCTTATCTCAAGGGTAGAAAGAATGAAGTATAGCTGGTGTCCCTGTTTCCATAAAGTAAAAAAGAGGACTATATATTCATATCTGCAAATGCACAGAAACAAATTCTGGAAGGATACTATCCTCCAATTCCCTAGCAGAGGTTGAGAGAGGTGAGCATGCTGGTCTCGGCCCTAATGGAATTCAGGAATGAAAAGGAAGAAGAGAGCTGCAGAGAAAGTGCTTTGGTTGAAAAAGGTTGACCTGAAGTTGATGCTGAAAATAACTCCCTTGTATCAGGTCCCTTCATTTCTTTTCTGCTTTTTAGCACTAGATTATTTGGCCAGAACTGTCTGTATGAAGCTCCTGATTTACAAGTCAAAAAGTAAAGACGTTGGAAGCTGACACATCAGATTTGGGGTCCAGGCTGGGTCATGTGTCATGGCCCTTGAATTCCCTTAACTGCAAAATTTAGTGTGCCCATGTTCATGTTGGGGACAATCCTTGAGTTTCATCAATCTTTTTAAATTAATTTATTTTAAAATTAAATGTACATCAGATTCCTCAAGGACCCATATAAAGGGATATTGGTGGCCTGGCCCGAGTGGCTTAGTGATTGGAGAGTTGTCCTATACAAAGAAGGATCAAAGGTTTGATACCTGGTCAAGGACACACACACACACACCCGGACATCAGGGCTCCTGCTTTCTCTCTCACATTGATGTTTTCCTCTCTCCCTCCACTCTCTAAAAAAAATCAATGGAAAAACTATCCTTCGGTGAGGATTAACAAAAACACACACACAAAAAAAATATAAGGGGGATTAGTTTGGCTTTGGGGAGATGTGGAGGCACAAGGGGCACCAGCAAGTCCAAATAAAAACATGCTGATAGGCCCAAACTCCTTTTTAAAAAATATTTTTTTTTTAAGTTGATTTCAGAGATGAGAACCATTGATTGGCTGCTTCCTGCGTACCACCTGACCAGGAATAGAACCATAGAATCACGACCTCCTGATTCATAGGCTGATAATCACTAAGCCACACCAGCTGAGCCCCAAACTTTTTTTTTAATTTTTTTTTTATTGATTTTGTACAGAGAGGAAGGGAGTTAGAAACATCGATGAGAGTCATCGATCAGCTGCCTCTTGCTCAGCTCCCCAATGGGGATATACCCGCAACCAAGGTACATGCCCTTGACCTGAATCGAACCTGGGACCCTTCAGTCCCCAAGCCAATGCTCTTATCCATTGAGCCAAACCGGTTTCGGCCCCCAAACTCCTTTGGAGAAGGAAATAAAGAACAGAGCACAAACTAAGGAAATAGGGAAATTAATGAAGCAAAAAATTATTCTTTGGCCAAAAACGGTTTGGCTCAGTGGTAGAGTCTGTGGACTGAAAGATCCCAGGTTCGATTCCAGTCAAGGGCATGTACCTTGCTTGCGGTCACATCCCTAGTAGGGGGTGTGCAGGAGGCAGCTGGCTGATGTTTCTCTCTCATCGAAGTTTCTAACTTTTTATCCCTCTCCTTTCCTCTCTGCAAAAAATCAATAAAACATATATTGTTTAAAAAAATTATTCTTTGAAAAGATGTAAAAAAAATTTACAAAACTAGATTAGCTAAATTAGCCCAAAAGGAAGACCAATATCATGAAAGAAAGAATATTAGTCACCACCGACCCTACCAATATTAAACAGATTAAGTGCTAGGGACAATTCTATGCCCATACACTTTTTTTTTTTATGACCATAAACATCCTACTTGAAATGCACCAACACCTTGAAAGACACTAAAATGAAAGCTCACTCAGGAAGAAATACATCATCTGCATAGTCTTATATCTATTAAAGAAATCTGTAGTGAAAAAGCTTTCAACAAAGACGTCCACAAAATACTCCCTCACCAACTAGGGAAACAAAATACTTCTATGGAAATAAAGACTTCAGCCAAAACCGGTTTGGCTCAGTGGACAGAGCGTCGGTCTGCGGACTGAAAGGTCCCAGGTTCGATTCCGGTCAAGGGCATGTATATTAGTTGCGGGCACATCCCCGATAGGGGGTGTGCAGGAGGCAGCTGGTCAATGTTTCTAGCTATCCCTCTCCCTTCCTCTCTCTCATCGATGTTTCTAACTCTCTATCCCTCTTTCTTCCTCTCTGTAAAAAAATATTTAATAAAAAATTTTAAAAATCAATAAAAATATATATTTAAAAACAAATTGTCTCACTCTTATATTTCTTTACCCATTTTCCTTGTCTCTGGCACTAGACTGGGATCACTGGGGCTGGTGCTGAATCTGGGTGTCTTGGTCACTGCTGTGCCCTCATGAATGAGAGCTATAAAGTCCAGTACAGCAGCCACTGGCCACATCTGACTAGTAAGCTCTTGTAATGTGACTGTCCAAATGGAGACGTGCTGTGAATGTACACTAGATTTTGAGGAAATGTTATTAAAATTAACTATAGCTGCCCTAGCTAGTGTGGTTCAGTTGGTTGGAGCATTGTCCTGTACACCAAAAAGTGGTGGGTTGAATTAATGGTCAGGGCACATAACCAGAGGGCAGGTTTAATACCCAGTCAGTGGCATGCAGGAGGCAACTAATTGTGTCTCTTTCTCTCACACCGATGTTCCTCTTCCTCCCTCCCTCCCTCCAGGGCCTAAGACCTCAGTAGAGCTACTCTCAGCCTCTCCTGGGACCCTCTTGTGGCTTCAGCCCTTTTCCCAGCAGAAATCCTCAGTTGAGGCTTTTTGGCCTCTCACTTCCCACTTCTATTTTCCTTAAAGGGGGATTAACAATACTGCCATCAAATATTAGGCCATTGGTAATGAGATATACTATTATTTCATGAATTCCCACAAAAAAGAAAGATTAAAGAGTGGGAAATAATGCTTTGGGTTGAGACTGGGCAGTGTGGCTCAGTGGTTGAACACTGACCTATAAACCAACCAGGTCACAGTTCAATTCCTGGTCAGATGCCTGGATTACTGGCTTTGTCAATAGGGGGCATGCAGGAGGCAGTTGGTCAATTCTCTCATTGATGTTTATGTGTCATTCTCCTTTCTCTGAAATCAATAAAAATATATTTTGAAAAATGCTTTTGTGTTAAAAGCAGCAGCCTGACCTCTGCAAACTATGACAAACGGGAATAATCATAGGGCAAGACGGGAGTATAAATACTCGTGATAGCCCTAAGACCTTGTCCTGAATTCCCCATCCTTACCAACCTGTAGGTTTTGCTAAGGAGCCTGGGTTACAGGTGTGGGCCCCAGGTTATAAGTGGGAGTCTTCCGATTATAAATGGAGGGATGTCCAGCCAGCTCCCAAACGCACTAACCCCTGCGAAGCCCTTTAGCTTTCCCAGCACTGATCACAGATGTCCCAGAGGCCCCTTCACCAAAGACGGAGGGAGCCAACTATCCAGGTCACTCTCCAGGCCAGCTGCTCCCATCCTGGGTGACTGTGTGGATCTGAAACTTTTTACCTGTTTGACACACAAGCACCCAGGGAGCCTTGGCCAGGGTCCCACCACCTGCCCCTTGGTGGCCACAGGTGTTCACAAACCTGGAGCACATCCTAGGATGCAACCATAGCTGAATTCCCTGAGGGAGCTGATCTCTGGAAAGGCTCCTTGGGCTCGAGGGGGTCCACTTGTCAGGGGTAGGGTCTGAGCTGGACGAGCAAATGCTTTGTGTGTATATATTAAAAGAAAGCACCCTGGCTGGTTTGGCTCAGTGGATGGAGCCTACAGACTTAAGGGTTTCAGGTTTAAGTCCAGCCAAGGGCACGTGCCCAGTTTGTGGGCTGTACAGGAGGCAGCCAATTAATGGCTCTCATCATTGATGTTTTCCTCTTACTCTTTCTTTCTGAAATCATTAATTTTTATTATTTTTTTAAAAGTAGGCCTTGACTGGTTTGGCTCAATGGATAGAGCATTGGCCTGCGGACTCAAGGGTCCCAGGGTTGGGGCACAGGTTGCGGGCACATCCCCAGTGGGGTGTGTGTGTGTGTGTGTGCGCGCGCGCGCAGGAGGCAGGGGATTGATGTTTCTGGCTCTCTATCCCTCTCCCTTCCATTCTAAAAAAAAAATCATAAAATATATTTTAAAAAAAGAAAAAAAGAGCCGAAACCAGTTTGGCTCAGTGGATAGAGCGTCGGCCTGCGGACTGAAAGGTCCCGGGTTCGATTCCGGTCAAGGGCACGAACCTTGGTTGCGGGCACATCCCTGGTGGGGGGTGTGCAAGAGGCAGCTGGTCGATGTTTCTCTCTCATCAACATTTCTAACTCTCTATCCCTCTCAATTCCTCTCTGTGTAAAATCAATAAAATATATTATATATATATATACATATATATATATTAAAAAAAAAGTTCTAAAAAAAAAAAAAAAAAAAAAAAAAAGAAAAAAAGTAGGAACCCTCCCCTTGACTGGAGAACATGCGAGAGGCCTATGAAGGGAATGGGAACCTGAGGGAAGATACTACATTCAGTCCAGCAATGGCCACCTCTATGGGTACTTAGAGATGCCAGGTAGCTAAAACTGCAGGTCTGGGTTGGCGGAATCAAGGGGGAGGGGCACAGGGAAGATAGCATAGGACCCTGAACATTCCCAGACATGTCGTAGAAGCTCCCGAGCCCCGCGGCCCCCCCAATATCTGTGTGGCTGTCACTGTGTTTACAGCAGGGACCCTCACTATCCAACATCCTGGCAAACACTAGAAGTCTTGCTGGACCTGAGTCTCCAAGTACTGTGCCCAGGCCCAACCCCCTCTGCTGGATGATTGGCAAACTGCCCAGAGCCGCAGACACTTGAAGAATGGGTTGCACTCTGATGAGGTAAGTCCGCTTTTTATTAACTACTTGAGAGGGATGAAGCGGGAGGAGTGGGTGGCTCCAATGCCAGGCCTGCCGTGCTTCACGGGCTTGTAGGTGATGGAGAACTCACCCAGGTAGTGGCCAATCATCTCAGGCTGTGGAAGGCAAAGGATGGACCTGGTAAGTGACCGGGGAGGGCAGGCCCACACCCACCCAGGCAACACAGCCCCACCACACACCTTGATTTCCACCTGATTGAAGGTCTTGCCATTGTAGACGCCCACCATGCTGCCCACCATCTCTGGCAGGATGATCATGTCCCGCAGGTGTGTCTTCACCACCTCTGGCTTCTCCATGGGCGGGGCCTCCTTTTTGGCCTTGCGCAGGCGCTTCAGAAGCGAATGCTGCTTCCTCCGCAGGCCCCGGTTTAGCCGCCGCCGCTGCCGGGCACTGTACAGCTGCATCAACTGCTCACTGGGGGACAGGCAGGACAGAATATGTGGCCTAAGCCCTGGCGGATACCCACCCTTCACCACTGACACTAATGGTTCCCCATCGTGCCCCAAAGCAATGTTCACAGCCAGTCAAATATGCAAGAGGAATCCTGCAAAATCAACAACCTGCACAGCACTGTCTAGAAATGAGGAAGGACAGGCTGCTCAGGTGAGATGGTGCAGCTGGAACTTTGTGGACTAAAGGCTGTGTTGCTAGAGGCCTCAAGAACCCAGGAGAGCCGAGACCCGTTTGGCTCAGTGGATAGAGCGTCGGCATGGGGTTCGATTCCGATCAAGGGCATGTACCTTGGTTGCGGGCACATCCCCGGTAGGGGGGTGTGCAAGAGGCAGCTGATCGATGATTCTCTCTCGTTGATGTTTCTAACTATCCCTCTCTTCCTCTCTGTATAAAAATCAATAAAATATATAAAAATAGTTTTTTAAAAAAAAGAACCCAGGAGAGGAGCCGGGTCTGAGAAATGATCAGCCTCCTCTGTGTCCCCAGGAAACTGGATCCACCACGCCTAGACCCAGAAACACCTTCAGGAGTATCAGGGTCCCTCCCTCCTTCCCTCCTGTTTGGAGACTCAGACCCAAACCCGCCCTGACCCTGGGGACAAGAGTTTTAAGAAGCATAAGTCAGACCACCTAGAAGCTTCCAGCATTGACCAAATCTTAGACCTGGGGTTGCAAACTCCCACCCACAAGCCAAATCTGGCCCGATGACTGACCTTACAAGGCTTGTGAGCTACAGACATTTGCGTTTTCAAGTGAATGGAAAGTTGTCAAAAAGGACACCTTAACATTCTATTAATGTCAAACCTCTGAGCCGCAGCCCAACTGCATTGGATCTAAGGCCGAGTCAGCGAGTCAGGCTGCAGCTTCTAGCCCCTGGGACCCCCTCCCGCCGCCATCCCTCCCCACGGACGGCCGACCCTTACTTACTATGACATGTCAAGCAGTTGATCCAGATCCACGCCGCGGTAGGTGAACTTGCGGAAGGTCCGCTTCTTCTTCTGCTCCACTTCCGCCTGCGTGGGCCCGGGACAAGGGTGAGCGGGAGCCCGAGACCCATCTCCCACCCCGACGGCTACTGCGGGTCACCAGACGCAAAGGTCGTGCCAAAAAACGCGTGGCAGGCCCGGCAGAAAAGCCCGTGGGGACACACCACCTCGGGCGGGTCCGAGGGCGCCGGAGGCTAGGGGATTTGGCTGAGACAGGAGGGCAGGTACAGGCCTTTCCCTCCGCGAGTGGTCATGACACCCACAAGGACCGCGCACCCACATCCAGCGGCTCCGGAAGACTGGGGAACGTGTCTTAGAGGCACGGCCTGGCCCCGGCCTCCAAGGAGCAGCCAGAGCCAGGATGGCGCCGGATAAGCCCGCACAAACGAAGAAAGTCTCAACACTTACCATCTTGTCTGTTCCCCGGAAAGGCCAACCCGCTCGGCGCCTGCGCAATTATCTCCGGTTCGCCCACGGCCCCGCCCCTTGACGCTGCGTGCGCAAGCACTTCCGTTCCTGGAGGAGGATGTGCACCCTCTGCTGTCCGGAGGGTAGAGCGCAGGGACGAGGGCAAAAGCTTTTTTTTTTTTTAAGAGGATGCTTTGTAAAAAATATATATATTTTTAAATTGATTTCAGAGAGGAAAGAAGAGAGAGAGAAATATCAATGATGAAAATCACTGAGCAGTTGCCTCCTACACACCCCCTACTGGGGATTAAGCCCAAAACCTGGGCATATCCCATAGTCAGGAATGGAACTCGGAACCCCTCAGTCCGCAGGCTGATGCTCTATCCACAAAGCAAACCAGCTAGGGCAGCAAAAGCTTTTTAAAAAATATATATATTTTATTGATTTTTTTAGAGAGAGGAAGGGAGAGGAATAGAGAGCTAGAAACATTAATCAGCTGGAACCAGGGATGTGCCCGCAACTAATGTACATGCCCTTGACCAGAATAGAACTTGGGACCTTTCAGTCCGCAGGCTGAGGTTCTATCCACTGAGCCAAGCCGGTTTCTGCAGCAAAAGCTTTTGTTAAGGACTCGGACACACAGCCGAAACCGGTTTGGTTGCAGGCATGTACCCGTTAGGGCATGTGCAAGAGGCAGCTGATCGATGTTTATCTCTCTTCAATGTTTCTAGCTCTCTATCCCTCTCCCTTCCTCTCTGTTAAAAATCAATAAAATATATTTAAAAAACAAAAAGGACTTGGACACCACCCTCAGCCACCTAGAGTTTGGGCAATTCCTGAAAGTCAGTGCTCCTTTCAAGCCTCATATTTGTGCTCTATAATCTCCATTAATGGAACCCAACTAACAAGGGTTTATGGAGCACTACTGTTTGCAGCTGGTGCTGTCTGGTTTTAGTCCAGAGTTCCGTAACGGAGCTGATCCTGTTGTAATAGCTAGTTGTTAATAACAGGGAAGTAGTGAAAGGAAGGCCAAATATTTTTTTTAAATATATTTTATTGATTTTGTACAGAGAGGAAGGGAGAGAGATAGAGAGTTAGAAACATCGATGAGAGAGAGTCATCCATCAGCTGCCTCTTGCACACCCCCTACTGGGGATATGCCCACAACCAAGGTACATGCCCTTGACTGGAATTGAACCCGGGACCCTTCAGTCTCCAAGCCGACTCTCTATCCATTGAGCCAAACCGGTCTCGGCGGAAGGCCAAATATTATTAGGCATGTCATTTGGGCAGCTTCACAGGAAACTAAAGCTTTATACTCCACAGGGAGCTGCTGGTCTATTCCCTGCAGATCTCTGGGAAGAGACAGGACAGGGAGGAGAATATATGTATGCCCAGTAAAGTTGGGGTGATGTTGGGAAGGTACCTGTCAGGGACACCTGGGAACAGGTCATTGGTCAGAATGAGTGTGGCCAATGCAAGGGCATGAAATTTGGGATACTTAATTTCCTAAACAAAGGAGTTCACTCTTGTGCTCTGTGCTCTTGGTTCCTCCTATGCTCTTGAGACTGTTTTTTAAAAATATATATTTTATTGATTTTTTTTTTTTTTTGCAGAGAAGAAGGGAGAGGGATAGAGAGTTAGAAACATTGATCAGCTGCCTCCTGCATACCTCCTTTTGGAGATGTACCTGCAATCAAGGTACATGTCCTTGACCGGAATTGACCCTGGGACCTTTCAGGCCACAGGCCGAGCCACACCGGCTACAGCTGCTCTTGGGACTCTTATTGCTCCTGACATGCTCTCCTGCATTCACCAACATGTGGACCCCAACAGCGATTCATGAACTGCAGCTAGCCTCATGCTGAACTGGATCTGGCTGCAATCTGGAGCGACAATTCGGACACTGGCTTTGTTTCTGGCTCCACTGGAACTCCAGCTGCACCTCTTCAATGACT